TTTCTTTTAAGAAATTTGGGAAATGTAGAAATTATAACCTCATGGAAATTTATTATTTTACTTAACAAATAAAAAATTTAAGATTTCTTAAAATGAATGTGAAATCCATGACCTCGGGGATAATTATTTTGGAAACTGTTTTATTGTCTAGATACCTGGAGGTATTTTTAGAGGAAGACCTCATTTATCATGTATCAATGAGGGATTAGTGTTTGCATATTTTTCTGAATGAAAAGAATTAGATTTAGATCTCAAAATATTGCCATATCCTCAAAATAAATCTGTTCTTTGTACATTTCTCTTGCAAATTCCACCTCTTTCTAGTCCACACCTTTTGTCCTACCGTGACCATTTTAGCCACAATTTTTTCTTTTAGGCTATTTTAACAACCTGCTAACACGCTGCCGACAGATCTCTGTTGCTAGTCTCAGATCCTGCCAATACATTCTGTGTGTGGCTTTTCTTAAATACAAACTTGATCGTGTGTCAATCCCCTTCATAAAATTATTTAACGGTGTCTCATTTCCTACAGGATAAAATCCTTTGCATTGCCATACAAGGCCCTACACGGACTAAACTTTGCCTGCCACACTAGTCTCATCTCTCACTATGGATCCTGTGCTTCATACAGGCTAAATTTTTCTGCATACCAACCTATTTCCCACCCCAGCCTCTGTATCACAGCTCCCTCTTCCTGGAATGCTTTTTATATGTAATGGATTTTGCCTCCATACTCAAGTTGTTATTTAAGATCATTTCTCTAAGATGCCTTTCCTGATCTCTCCTTCATCACTAGATCAATGGTTCTTAAACTTTTCTGCACATTAGAATCACCTGGAAATTCTAAAGCTCAGGAAGTGAGACTCAGGGTCAGTATTTTTTGAAACTCCCCAGGTATCTGGTCAAGATGGTTTAAATATTCATCCATATCTTCCTATAGTTATTCTATTATTTTGTTTTTACTCTTAATTCGTTAAGCCACCTGAAAATTATTTTAATCTGTGATGTGGAGTGAGGATATAAGGTTTGTAGTTTAGCAGGTGAAAGATATAAATTACCAGTCACCAGTGCAGCATGGTATATATTCTCATGGTCTGAGGAACCAAAGGAAAGGCAATTAAATCTAGAAGGCAACATAGCTTTCTAGATACACTAAGCCAAGAGCAAGATCATCAGTTATTGAGACCGTTAGTCTCCAAAAAAATGTTTTATTACACCTGTAGAATAAAGATTTTTGTTTATTTTATTTTTAACAGTTTTATTGAGATATAGTTCGTATACCATACAATTCACCCATTTAACGTGTGCAGTTCAGTGGTTTTTAGTATATTCATAAATCTCTCCAAACATCACCACAATTTTAGGACATTTTCATCATCTCAAAATGAAGATGTACCCTTTACTATCTCCTGCTACAGCCTCAGCCTCCCCTCCCTCAGCCCTAGGCAACCACTAATCTACTTTCTGTCTCTATAGGCTTCTCTGTTGAAGATATTTCATATGAATGGAATCATATAATATGTGCCTTTTTGTGACTGGCTTCTTTCACTTATCACCATGTTTTCAAGGTTCATCTGTGTTGTAGGATGTATCAAGCATCTCATTCCTCTTTATGGTTAAATAATATTCCATTTTATGGTAATACCCATTTTGTTTATCTCCTTGTTAACTGATGGACATTTTGGTTGTAAAATAAATTGTGAACACTTCCAATATATATTTTTAAAATGTGTTCATGACTCATATGTAGGTACTACTGAATGAATATATTATGTACTATATATAACATACACAAAAAATAATAGTTTAAAAGATAACAACAAAATATAAATAGGATTCTTACTTTTTTTTTTCTCACCTCTCAGTGGGTCATTTGTATTCTAGAAACCTCTCACTTCTACAGATTTTTGAGGCTACAGGTTCAGGTGAGCAAGTCAGCTAAATAAAGGTGTTCTAGACAGAAGATGCAGTGCATGCAAATGCATGGAAATGAGAGAAAGTATGGCAGCTTTTCATGTCTTGAAAGTTGTATGTCTGGGACATAGAATAGAAAGGAATTTTCATGCAGTCATTTTTTACCGTCTCCCTCACTGTAATAATTTAAGGTTTAGTGAAAGAATATCTATATTCTCTTTCTTACATGTGTATAAATATGTATATATGTGTATGTATATATATATACATATATATATATGAACACCTAAGAAAGAATATTAAATAAAAGTTTTATTCTAATATGTAAGTCTATAGTTTTATTATTACAGTTGACCCTTGAACAACAAGAGTTTGAACTGCACAGGTCCACTTATACATGGATTATTTTCAATAACTGCATCCTACAGTTCTACACGATCTATGATTGGTCGAATCTGTGCAGGTAGAACCACGGATACAGAGGACCGGCTATAAAGTTATACTCGGATTTTGAACAGTTGGGGTGTTGGGAATGCTAACTGCCCACATTGCTCAAGGGTCAAGTGTACTATTTGGCAGTGTATATTAGACACTATATTATGATACTTTCTAGAAACAACCTTATAGTTTGGGCTTTTTTCAAATAATCCCAACCAAGAATTAGCAGCATTAATTTCCTATTTACCACTCTTTTCTGGTTTATTTCTGAACATCTTAGTTGCAGTATTTTCTGTGACTTAAGGAGATGGGCTGAGTCTGCTATAGGAAAACAACATCAAAAATAAGTCCTTTGTACTTTCCCTTCTATAAAACCCATGGAGAAGTCCCTTACACTTTATTTCATATTGTGCTGAGTTGCATATGAAGCAAATATAGAAGAATAATTGTTTGTTCTTACCAGTTTGGCTGTGGTTGAAGAGAAAATGGTTGTAATATTTATTCTGCTACAGCCAAAGACTTTGCTAGTCTGTGGTATCTTGTGAAGATTCTGGGCAGACTATTGGGATAGAATCCAATCAACTTAGTTTCTCAGAAATATTTCTCAAGATTGGCTTGCTTATTTTTCTATTATTCACACTCATTATTCTGGGTATTTTAACGGCATATCACAGTGATTAATTTACTACATTATATACTCTTTTTTAAAAAATACTTTTTATTTATTTACTTCATTTTTGGCCGTGTTGGGTCTTCGTTGCTGCGCAGGGGTTTTCTCTCTCTAGTTGTGGTGAGCAGGGGCTACTCTTCGTTGTGGCACGTGGGCTTCTCACTGCGGTAGCTTCTGTTGTTGCAGAGCACGGGCTCTAGGTGCGCGGGCTTAAGTAGTTGTGGCTCGCAGGCTCTAGAGCGCAGGCTCAGTAGTTGTGACGCACGGGCTTAGTTGCTTTGCCACATGTGGGATCCTCCCGGACCAAGGCTCGAACCCATGTCCGCTGCACTGGCAGGCAGATTCTTAACCACTGCGCTACCAGAGAAGTCCGACATTATATACACTTAAGGCAGTAGTAATTAATACTGAGTTTACCATCTAAGAAAATAGAGACCAAGCATTTGTGAGGTCGACTCAAGCCTTTACTCCAGTGAGTGACAAAGCTGGAAACAGAATGTAGAGTTGCTAACTAAAAATATTGAACCCAGTCCATTTAATGTGCTGGCTTTCTTTTATGACTAAGCCAAAGATTTTTAAAAATTAATCAGTGAGAATGTGTCTGTAATTCTGTTCTAATCCAAAATAAGAGGGTGAGAAATTTTCCACTTCACCAAGAAAAAAGTGTAAGATTGCTTTGGTAACGATTTCAGTTTATGAAATTAATCAAACTGAAATAATCCTTCTTCATTAAAAGATTAATTAATGCCATTTGAAAACTTAGGCACTTTTTAAATCATTTTTTTTTTTATCCAGCAAATGTGTTTTTGTACCATAGAGTTTAGATACTTCAACTTTAGTTGATAAACCACCTTGACGAGTATTGTATTTTGATTGTTTCCTGATCATTTTTTGGCCGTGGGTACCATATAAGAAATGTTCAGGGACATTAAGCCTAAGATAGCACCTAATGATTACAGCTCTTCATGGTTTGAGACAAAGAAGACCAGTTTTTCAGCCTACTCTGCTTGGACACACTACCATTTCCCACTCTCAATTTCTTTCTTTAAGAATCCACTTTCCTCTGAAATATCAACTTTCCTTTGTTAAAAAATGTATTCATTATAATAATATTTTATCAAATGCTGGAAAACATATAGGCACTATTTTAGGCTCTAGACACAAAATGGCAAATAAAGCAGAAAAGCCCCTGCCCTCAAGAAACTCACAGCTTGGATCCAACTTTGGCACCCTTTTCAGTGACAGCTCACAGACATTCACTCATCACATAACTTTTTTTAGTTTTCAGTTTTTTCCAAAAGGATAGGTTTCCAAGTGTAATGCCCTGGTCTTTCTAGTGGCAGCTACTTCCTTATTGTATTTAAGTGATGTATTATTGATAAAGCATTTAGAATGACTGGCACATGGAAAGCACTATTTGTATAAGTGTTAGCTACAGGTAGAAGATAGGAGTAGCAAAGCATTTTCCATCCTACCAGCATGCCAGCAGATACTGCTTATTCTTAAGCAAATTCAGAATTGTAAGTAAGCCTCATAATAAGAATGCTACCTTGAACATTCAAATATGGAAAAATACAAATTGTTCTGATAATGCACGTCACAAAAGGATTTTCCACATTTCTTCCAATTATAAGTTTTATTGGTTCTTTGAAAAGATTTAATATACAGAACTATTTTTTATTCAAACAAGTATGTTAATAAAATGAAAACTATTGTGTCTACTCCTTGCTTCTTCAAATGAGATTTAATCATTTGAAGGGAACCATAGCTATAAGTAGCTTATAGACATAAAATATGGTGCCCTGTATTCTCTGCCAAATAATACCTCCTACTTATATAACATGAATAGTTTAAAAATCCTGTCACATGCCTCATTACATTTAGTTCTGTAACAGTCCTGAGAAGTAGATTAAACAAGTATTATTGTGTCCATTTTTCAAAGAAAGAAACCAAAGTATTAAAGATATTTTGTACTCACCCTAACTTAAACAGTAGATTTGAGGAGTCAGATCTTCGGTCCAATACTCTTTCCGCTACTGTATAAAACTGCAAAGCATTGTTTCCTTTAAAAATAAAATAAAAGAAGCCACAAGCAATATGACCTGTTAGCATGAAGCCAGAATCAGCAGATTGAGGACTGGCCTACAATTCACAGCATTACCACTAAGATTGAGCAAGGTGACCCCCATCCAACTCACCCTCTAACCCCAGGTTCCAGAAGGCATATTTGGACACAGTCAACTTCAGGTGAAGCATAGTTTGATTACCTTCTTTTCTACCCTCACTTCATCTCAAGATGTAGCTTGTTAGAGATATCATTAAAGATGGGGGTTGGGGAAGAAGGGGTAAAATCTGAATCAGATTATAGAACAGTCTAGGCAGGTTAAAAAAAAAAAATCTGAGATACTGAACAGAGCCAGAAACACTGAGTATGGTCCTTTCAAATAATGGCTCATATTTTCTTATTTAAATTAGAATATTCTGATAGATGTGGGAAATTTATTTTACCAGGATATTTTTCAAAGTTTCTTTCTAAAATAATTAGGGAGAAATTCCAACAAGATTTGGGGAGTCGGTTTCTTTCTTTGTCTCTCTCTCTCTCTCTCTTACTCACTTGCCTTTGCTCTGTTGGTCACTGAACTTGGGAAAAGCATTGTTTTCATTGATTAAGAGAAGTATGGATGTCAGGAAACTTGGCACTGTAATTTTATTAGCTAACTTAAGCTAGTACCATAATAAGAAAACACCCTTTAAAAAAAATCTTAGAAATGAGTTCAAGCAACATAACAATCTAGGGTGGTTCAGCACACTTCATTTCATTTTCTAAAAGGCTCACAAACACTTGTGACCCGCAAGGTATAGATTGTGGCTCCTCCTGTAACCAAAAGTAGGGTCCGGTTGTTCACCGCTCAAAAGCCAATAAAAAAGCAAGGTTGGTGGAAAGGAAAGTTTGCTTTATTTCGGATGCTGGCAACCAGGGGTGGGGGGTGCAGGGAACACCCGTCAGAGGCCGACTCCCTGCCCTACAACCAGTGGGCAAGAGCTCTTATAGGCTGAGGGAGGTGGCTACAGTCAGCTCTGACAGGCATCTTGAAATTGGTCGTGGGTGGTCTGATCAGCGTCATCTTGATTGTTTGAGGTACAGTTAGTCTTCAGTTCCAGGGTCGGTTTGTTTCCAGTTCTTTGAGGCAAATTCTCGGAATTGTGACAGCTTCTGTCATGGCTACAGCCTGGTCATCATGTAGTTAACTTCTTCCACCTGATGGGGCTTTTAGTATCTGTAAGACAGCTGACAAGTTCACAGGATATGGCCCAATATTATCTGTAGCCCTTGAGAAGGAACTAAAGGCCCTTGACTTTGCTTACTGACTAAACCATTTTTGTTTTGTCCTGCTTGACTGCTTTTCTTTGCTTCTGCATTTTCTCACTTCTCTGATTAAACTTATTCTTTGGCTAAAGTTCTTCCACAGACAAAAGGCAGGCTGTGGGCATGGTCATGCAGACCATAGGGCCCTGCTCCATTTCACTCCTTGCTTCCCCTAATGAAGTTCAGATTCCTTACATGATCAGATTTTTATCTCATTTTCCCTATTCCCCATTTTATTTACCCATTCTTCATTTTCACAAAACATTTTTCCTCTTCCTCGTGTGTATCCTGCACTATGTTGCTTTCATGCTTTGGTTATGTTGTCTCTTCTACCTGCTGTGGCTAAATCTTATTTCTCCCTTAAGGCCCAGTTATACTGCCACTTCCTCCACCCAACTTTCCCTCTTCCTCCTCTGCATAAATTTTATAAGTACTTTATCAGGACCTCTCATATGTCATTTGCACCACCACACAGTTAAAGAGTATGTCTTATCCACTTTCCAGCCTATAAGCTCCTCCACATCAGAACTGCCTTTGTGTCCCTCACTCTCATACATAACAGTGCCCCCCTCCATAACTGTCTGCAGTATAATAGGGTAGAAAAGGCATGGACTTTGAAGTCTGACAGCCCTGATTTCAATTCCTTGCTCTATCATTTATTAGCCATATAACCTTGGGCAAGATACTTAACATCTCTGAACCTCTGTTTCCTCATGCATAAAATGGAGACAATAATACTCCTTCTGTTGTTACAGCATTAAGTTAAGTGAGAAAGCAGGCAGAGAGTTCCTAGTATTGTATCTCAGACATGCTAGGTCTTAAAAACTGGTGATGGTGCTGGTAGTAGTGGTCGTACTTGTATTTTAGAAGCCACTTTATTGCTTCAGTTTCCTCAGTCACATAGAGAACAGGAAGAATACTCTGACATACCACACATGAGGACTATTTTGAACCAGTTTGGAAACCCTCATAATTATTTGAAGAAAAGTATCTCATGAGTTTATTACAAAATAATAGAACCCTCCATTAAGTACTGTTAGCAAGCATGATATTCTGCAGTGTTGAATTTGCTAGGTTAACCATAGCCTTAGGTGATTTTTAGATAGCAATTCTTTCTTTAGTGTTCTCCTTGATTGGCTTCATGAAATCTTTATATCTTGAGGAATTCGGGGCTTTCTTCTTATTGCTAAAACATAGAGTATATAATTTGTAGGTTCCACACCCAGAATGACAGGGCAACCTAGGGATGTTGTCAAAATGGCCATCAAACTACAAGAATTGTGGGTCACACCATATGGAGAAATACAAAGCGTGCTCTGTTGAGGGGCCTGGGGGCAACATCAATCAACCTTGTGCTGGTCTTGAAGTCCATGTGAGGGGGAATGAGGTAAAAGTGAACAGGAGCACAGACTACAGCCAACAGGTGGGAAGCTGGAGCCCCCAGAAGAGAAGCCATTCACGTCCCTCAGTACCTATTTATATATTGTAATTGTTTCTTGTGCTCATTATTAATAAGAATGGAGAAACATCTGATAAAAAGCTTATCAGAGAGTCTGTACAATTAAAAACTTCATTAGTAAAAGATAAGACAATTAAGCCTAATTTAAATCAATTTAATATTCAGTGTTCAGAACCTGTTTTTACCAATCTAAGTTCTCTTATCTCTTAATTCATTAGATAAGTTCACTTAACTTTATTTGAGTTGATTTTTAATGTAATATATACTTTGTGGTAATTAATTTATGTGATGTTATGACTATAAGTTATTACCAACATGACTGCTATTTGAATTATAAACTCAACAAAGCAATATATAATACTCTAAAAAAAAGGCAAAATTTTGTATTTGGAAAGGAGTGGAGCTTTCAAAACAAGTTTTTTTTTTAATTACTAATATCTTAAGGGAAAGTAACAAAAGTAAAAATTAAGAAAACTTCTAATTAGAGAACTACACCTATATTGGATATTCATGCCATTTTATAAATGGTCACACTGTACTGTAAATGCACAGTCAGCCCTCCATATCCACGGGTTCCCCATCCACAGATTCAGCCAACCTTGGGTAGACCATATTCTGGGAAGAAAAAAATTCCAGAAAGTTCCAGAAAGCAGAACTTTAATTTGCTGCACACCAGCAACTATTTACGTAGCATTTACATTGTATTAGGTATTATGAGTAATCTAGAGATGATTTAAAGGATATGGGAGGATGTACAGGGAGGATGTACATAGGTTATATGCAAATATTAGGAACTTGAGCATCCTTGGATTTCAGTATGGGCATTGGGGGTCCTGGAACCAATTCCCCACAGATACTGAGGGACAACTGTATAGAATTTCAAAGTGATTGTTAGATTGTAATGACATATATCTGCAGTGATTATGTACTACAAAGAGAAAGTACACATAGCAGTGTATATAGAGAGGAAACAACATTGGGTTATCAAAAAATCTGGTTTCTGATATTCCCAGCTTGGCATAATCATTTAACCTCGCTGAGCCTCAGTTTTCTCATCTGTAAAATGAGCAAGTTATTACCCTCTAAGAACTTCTTAGTATTAATATTTTTGTCTTGTGATTCTGGACATATTCCTTTTGTACTAAATTTAAAACTAGATATGAACTATCATATATTCACTAGCCAGCCCTCCTGGAAGTGCCTAATGGAAAATACAACTGAAAATCAGTATTTTTATAGTTTATATTCCAAAATGGAATACGGTCTGAAAATGTGGATAAATTTAACTGTTTTATAACTTGTTACCTTCACATTTCTCAAATCAGCTAATAGAAAAACACAGAGGAAAATATTCTATATTACTTTCTTTTGAGAATTATTTTAAACTCCAAAATAACATGAAGAAATGAGGCTAGGATGAACAACAGAGAAAGAAAAATTAAAAATTTGTGTAAATGTAGACAATTCCACTTAACATTCAGTGCTGAAGCATACTTCAGTGTTCAATGTTCAAGCATATTATTTCATGTAGTCCCTAAATTATTTAACCAGTTTTGACTAATTTTCATGAAGCTACAGAGGCTTATTTTGACCACCAGATGGAGCCAGCATTGTTTGATCTGTAGAATTAAAAATATGCTGAAAATAAAAATAGGTTAAATGAAATTAATAAATTGCAGATTTCTTACTTTAGTTCATAGTACAGAAAAAATTAAACTTTTAACCCAGTCTTTGCCTAAACTTCTGCCTACTCTTCATAAATGTGCATATAGATACCTCCATTATATAGTTTCTTTATTGTGAATTAGTTTTTAATTTGAGCAGTTTCATTGGATAGAGAAACCAGTTTTCTTCTTATTCACCTTTTAAAGATATCATCTAAACACTTTCAATTATCTTCAAAACAAAATTAGTACAGGTTCACTCAATAAATATTATGGATTATAACTATGAATATATATATGTAGGCTCTCATTTTAATGTCACAGAATATTCCCGCTGTTATCATTTCTATAATGGATTTTCTTACTAAAACAAACCAAAAAACAGGGATTTTAACTGGGGTGGAGGATATGTAGTTTAGCCCCAGTAGCTCCTCAAGGAGGTGAAGCCTCAATGAATGGCTACATTTATTCAATGGCTGCAATGAATGGCTGCAGCTCTTTCAGGGATTCTACTCAGAAAGCTCAGTGCTCAAGGGCTTAATCAGGGATAATTGCCTTCAAGTTGACTTTTAC